CTTCACACCGTCGATCTTGTCCTGAAGCTGGCTTTTCCTGATTGACAGGGTTTTCAGCTCCGTGACTTGGCCTTTGAGCTTCATGGCTATGTCTTTCTCGGTGCAGGGTTCCGGTGCCGTGAGCTTCGTGACGATCTGCTGAACTTGGGTGGGGAGGGACTCCATGTGCGACTTGAGGATGTCTGTGAGCTCTGGCTCTTCTGGCTTGGCGGGGCCAATGCCGAGTGCTTGAAGGCGGGTCTGTGTATCTGCAGGCAGGGTGGTCCAGCTGGTGGCCAAGAGGTCTGTGGCTTCTTGTTGCACCCGAGTTTTCTTCAAGGGTTTGACACGTCCAAGTCCTGGAGGTGTCTCCAGCCATGGTTGCTTTGCCTTGGAGGTAGGTCGCCCATAGCCCTTGCCCTTGCCGGCACCTCCAGTGGCAGCAGGCCACCAGTTGCCGCAGCGTCTGCACTTGGTGTTGGGTTTGACTTTGTCAGTCCAAATCCAATTGGTGCAGTCTTGTCTTGAACAGGTCATGTAAGCTCTGCCCCATTGTGGTGTCATTGTCCCTGATCAGGAGCAGGTGTCCGGTTCGGATGAGGTCAACCTAAATGGCAAACTGGGTGGCACCGATCAAGATCTGGCCAAAGTGAACCTGAAGGTTGTAGTCCAGTCACCAGGTGGAGCTCTCAGAAATAGCCAGGCGAGAACTGCCGGACACCAAAGGTCTCGTCAGGGGTGGCCAAGGAGAAGACGGATATAACGAGCAAAGAATGTGTGGTAGGTCGAGAAGTCGAGACTCGAGGTCAGGTGAAAGTCTTTGCTATGTTCGAATGGGGATATCCGCACTGGCAGGACTTTATGGGAAGCCTGCTTGATCTCAAATGGCCTTGAGCCATGTATGTATGTATGTATGTATTAATGTAATGTAATGTAATGTAAAGCAAGTATGTATGTATGTATGTATGCATGTATGTATGTATGTATGTATGTAAGTAATGTATGTATGTATGTATGTATGTATGTATGTATGTTTGTTTGTTTGTTTGTTTGTATGTTTGTATGTACGTATGTATGTCATGTATGTCATGTATGTTATGTATGTTATGTATGTAGTGTATGTAATGTATGTAATGTATGTAATGTATGTAATGTATGTATGCATGTATGTATGTATGTATGTATGTATGTATTTTTCCTAGAGAGGTTCTTTTGCTTCTGCAGATCTCTGGGCCCTTTTGGCCGTCTAGCAGCGCCGCTAGAAGTAGTCGACGTCATAGGTTCCTTCTAGCGCCATGTCATCGTCGGTTAAGATTTCTTCTTTGGGGTTCTCCGGTGTGCCTGCTTTGGAGCCCTGAGGTGGCTCTGGCTTTGGCGGTACTGCTGGTCGGCCAAGGTGCTTGTCTCCGGCATTCTGGCTGCGTGTCATGGCCTGCGCCGGGTCCTCTTCTTCTTCTCGGGCCGTGAGAGGCGTTGAGAAGTGTAACCTTTTCGGCCTGGGTCCTGTGGTGGACAGTGGCCAATCCCCAATCACCACATATGGGTGTGTGGTTTGTTCCAGCAGGCTCAGGATCTTGGCTATGATGGTTGCATTGGTGTCGCTCTGAAGTGTCTCCCTTGTTTTAAGGTACAGGCCGATGACAAGGATGGTGTTGTCAGTTGCTTGCCAGAGGAACGCTTGGTATCCACAGCCTTGCAGGGTGAAGCTGTCGAACTCCGTGATGCCACAGGCCGGATCAGCAATGACCAGCAAACCACCATGTGTGCCCGAGTTGTCTTGATTAGGACATGCGTCCTCTGATAGTGAAGTATTGACAGAGCTCATAGTGCTTCTGTGGATCCAGATGCGTCTCAGCAAAGATGTAGATGCCTGAATTTCTGCTCCAGTACCAGTCAATGACCTGCCGTCCCAGGTTGGTCACATTGCCAAAATAGAGCTTATTGTGGCCTTGCTCAAATCTGGCCTTCTTCATTGGACTGGAATGTCTAGAGGTGGATCATAATCTGGTTCTTCGGCTTGCGGTAGTCCTTGCAGAACTTGTTGTGGCGTCTTGAAGGTGTCCGCACTAACTGCCCAGACCTGTGTGATTTGGCTGGCCAGCTTAGGCGTCAGGTGCGGCAAGTGAGTCGGGACCTTACCATCATCTGCAATCCACATCAAATCACGATGGATGAGGATGGCAAAGTAGTGGCCGGCCTGATGGGTCTGTCCTCTGTGACAGATGAGTACAGCAGGAACGAACTCCGTGGATGCCCTGGCAAAGCCATCAAAGATCGTGGCATAGTGAAAGTGCCATACGGGTTGAAGGGCTTACTATGCTTCCATCAATGCAGCTGTTGCGCGTGACATGACAAATCAGCACCTTCTTGTCATCCATGAGGTATTGCCCAAGGCCTTGATTAGCCCAGTTGTTGATGAGCTGTTGAAAGGTCACGTCCTCTGGCCAGTCGTCTGGGTAGGGCACATGGATGGGAAGCTGGACATGATCTGTCAAGTAACCTCCCTCTTTGATCTCCGCATTACTTGTAGTGGAAGTTTGCGAAAGCAGCCATAGGGAGTTCACAAAATGACTGGCGTCTCCTTGGATGTTGAGGTCATGCTCCTTCCAGAGGGATTTGAGACCAGGGAGGGTCATGATGTCCACAGCCTCAGCAGTGTCAAGTGACTCCTGCACTGCCAGTTGGAGGTTGCCCCATGGTTGGGTACTTGATTCTTGTAGGAGAGCGCATATCCAGGTCAAAGCTCTCCATGGGGCATTGGCGTAGCACCTGGCACGGGTTTCCAATGACCATTGTCAGGTTCTGCAGGATGCAGTCTGTGGAGGTGGCATAGTCCTGCATTGTGCCAGTTTGGTTGGCGAAATAGCAGAACTGGGCGTGTCGTCTATGGCACCTCCTCTGATCTGGACAAAATCGTGCGCATGGTCCGGCCAACTACCAAGAGTTTCAAATTCGTCTTTCTGTAGTGAGTGGCTAGAATGCACTTGTTGTGAATTGTGATTGTCTCCACTTCCATTGAATGACATGTCCCCGTCATTGTGGGTGTGAAGTGCTCCCAAATCTTGCGTCAAAGCAATTGTCTGTTGTGGGTTTTCCCTCTCACAGGTGACAATTGTCCGTTCCCCTGATGAGCCTGAAGCAGCACGGCAAACCTGATGCAAGGCTTTCTGTCCATCTGCTAGCTTGGCTTGGAGGTCCTGCATGTCCGTGAGGAGTGATGCATATTGGGCTTTAACTCCATCAATTTTCTCCTGAAGCTGATTCTTGCGGATGGAGAGGGTCTTCAACTCAGTCACTTGGCCTTTGAGTTTCGTGGCGATTTCTCTCTCAGTGCATGGTTCTGGCGCCGCGAGCTTGTTGACGATCTGTTGGACCTGAGGTGGCAAAGCATCCATGCATGTGGGTCTTCAGGATGTCCGTCAACTCAGGTTCTTGTGGCTTGCTTGGTCCAATTCCCAAAGCTTGCAGCTTCGCTTGCGTGTCCTCCGGCAAACTTGACCAGCTATAGCAGGTCCGTGGCTTCTTGTTGGACTTTGCTCCTCTTGAGGGGTTTCATCTTGCCGAGACCCGGTGGAGTGTCTAGCCATTGCTGACTGCTCATGTTCCTGTTTGCTGGTCTTCCATACCCTTTGCCTTTGCCGGTGCCACCTGTTGGGATTGTCCACCATGTCCCACATCTGAATCTGCGGCATTTCGTGCCAGGTTTTACCCGATCTGACCAGATCCAATTACTGTAGTACCTGGAATAGGCTTGCAATGCCATTCGTCCAGAGTGTGTGGACCTTGGCACCGACTTCGTTCTGGCGAAAGGTGCTGTTTATCTAGTAGTCCCAGTCCCCAGGAGGCCCACAGACTAGTAGTTCCAGCGAGCTAGTGCCAGATTGCGAGCAAAGAACGCTCACCCAGGGACACTTCCGTGGCGGCGTGCGTCTCGTGGAGCTCAAGGCACACGTGGCGCTAGAGGCTTTCCGCACAAGCTGGATTTCCGCACGTGTCTGTCTGTCTGTCTGTCTGTATGTATGTATGTATGTGTGTAATGTAATGTAATGTAATATAATGTAATGTAATGTAATGTAAAGTAAGTAAGTAAGTATGTATGTATAGATGTTTGTATGTATGTATGTATGTATGTATGTATGTATGTATGTATGTATGT